TTAAAATAATTATTTTTATTTAATAGGTTGGTTCACAAGATTTACCCTTACAAGAAATTCAAAATATTCAATCACATCATCAACTATCTCGTGAATATGCTAACAAGTCACTCATCATTTATCGAAACAAAATGAAGGATCAGATAATGAAAAAAAACAATAAACACCCACTTGAATATTCAATCAATGACTACGTATGTCTTGAAATTCCAAGAATAGACCATAACAGTGTTAATCGATCTATCTTGCCTTGCAAAGTAATTGAGAAATTGTCTGATAAAACATATCATTTACAATGCAAAAGTGGCATTCTTGATATTGTCTATGGTGTAAATGAAATTATGCCACTGGGGCCAACAGAGTACGAAGAGCTTGAAGTCTGTCAAGATAATATTATCAGTTTACGAGAGGCCGCAAGAATGCAGTTCACTTCTACTGTAACCGGTACAAAATGCAATTGTAAAGGTGAATGTAAAAATAATTCGTGTAAATGCAGGTGTTCAAATTTGGTGTGTGGAAGTGGATGTCATCCACATAGTTACAAATGTAAAAATAAAGAATAATTCGAACGTTTCATAATTTGGTATCCAAAATGGATATTATTTACGTAACATCAAATATATGATATAGAAGTTCTTATTAGATATCGAACATATATGTAATGCTTTTAGCTGTAATCGAAATTTATTTGAAATTTATTTCATCTATCATTTTTTTTAAAATTCCATTTTCATATGAGTTGTTTTAAGATTCCAAATCCACTAAAGTGGATTCGAAATCCACTTAAGTGGATTCCGAATTAACATAATCCTGAATCGACTTACAACATGTTCATCCTTTTCAACTCCAGTTCCAGAATGATAACAACGTCCAACATTATATATTTCACCAACATAACCTATATTAGCAGATTTTTGATAATGAATAAATGCTTTATGTCTATCTATTTCAACATCTAATCCTTGTTTATAACAAAACCCAACATTATTTATTCCGATAAAATGTCCCATTTCGGCAGCTTTTTGATAATGAATAAAGGCTTTATTATCATCCACATTAACACCAATTCCTTTACCATAACAAATTCCAACACCAAATATTCCTTCAGTAAATCCCATTTCAGCGGAATTTTGATAATGAATAAATGCTTTATACTTATTCTTTCCAATCCATTTACCAAAACGATAACATCTTGCAAGAACAATTTGAGCCATAGGATTAATTTGATTATCCAAGCACCAATTTATAATGTTATCTGGATTTTGTTTCGTATTTATTAAAGTTGATCCAATGTATTAATGACTAAATTCACATCAAAACATTTTAAACTTTCTTTATTATATTTACAGTATCATATAATTCTTTAATGATTTCATTAAGAAGATTGTCAGTTATTTGAATAATTTCATTTGATAAACTGTAAATTTTTTCTGGATGCTCTGTGGTTAGACTATTTGACATTTTTAAACCAAAAAAAAAATTTGCCATGAAAAACATTAGCGTTATATAAAATTATTTGTAGCACCAACTGTTTAGACACCTTCATGTAACATAAACCAAAACTTATACAATAAATGGCTTTTTACGCAAAAATTTCTATTATAATTTATACAATATTATACCAAATTTTGTAAACCTTTTCATTTTACTGTAACTGGTTCGACCATAAATAATTTATTTTTTTATATATATAGTACAAGTTCAAATTGATCTTTATGCGTACATACGTACGTATAACATTATCATGTGTGCTTTTTTTGTAGCTTTTTAATCGTTAGATTCTACTAAATAAAACGTGTCTTAATTACTATGTTGGCTAAATCTAGTTTGAATTGACATTAAAAATAATATATTAATTTAAGGATTAATCAATTTGTAACCGTAGGTTACAATAAATTTTTTGTAACCATAACTAAGATTAGGTGTAACATGAATATCAAAATATTTTTTTATAAATAAGCTCTTGCAGTTAAAGGTTAGAGTTAGGGTGATATTATAGTTGAAGCAAGATATAGTT